AAAGTGCAGGAGCTGAATGCGATCAGGAACAGCTGTTCTCTCTGTCCTGTCAGCTTATCCAACAGGAGGTTGCTGATGTTGTTGAACACGTTGTAAAGTAGGTCCACCACACTAGTAACAATAAGCTAACTTCAAAAACTGTTTCTCGGTATTTTCTAGCGAGAGAAAAACCTCTATTATTTCAACTTTCAAAGCTTCTTGTTAAAACTTTCCGCGTTGCGACGAAAATGGGGCAAGTCCTGCTTGTTTTTTGTTCTCGGCCAATAAGAGTTGCGCAACCTTGGCGACCCAAAAAAACTTATAGCGCCAAAGCTTACATATAAATCTTAATTTTTGACATCTAAATGTTAGTTTTTGTACAAATGGTACCAGCAGTTTTTTTGACGGCAAAACCAGAAAATTGTTTTTACATTTCAAGCCCTTTCATATTAATTTTTTTTCTGGCTTCTAATGCTAAAAATCATGCCATGCTCCATGAGAATATTTTTTTGCACTCCCGGGTCGACCACCATAGACCGAAATTGCTAATTATGCAATTCTATGCACCTCGTTGATGGAAAAATGCTTGTCCTAAAAGCTTCACACAGAGGCGAAGTTGCACTTCGTATACACAAGCAAAAATATGACCGTTAACGCTACTGGGAAAAACTGAATGAGTAAAACTTTGAGTCTACAAAATTTCATTAGTGACGCACGCCAATTATGAGTCTGCATAATTGCTAAGTGACGCAAGCCAATTATGACGCATTAGCAGTACCAGTCAATTTGAAAAAAAAAAGAAATTTACCAACTAACATGCCTCAATTTATAGAGCTGACGCATTTCAATTAGTATAATAAAAAGTTCATTAAAAACATCCGACCCTGTCCAGGTTCCAACCTTCTTATTTTGCTGCTCGTCTCCTTCCCTACCTCTACGCCACAGATCCAAGATTCCTTGAAGCTAAAGTGATATTTGTAATACAATTGTCTGTGTTAATATCATTAGCATTGGCTGTACTTAATAGCTGGATCAAAATGAACACTTTCAAAATGATTACATTCTGTCGCAACTATTGCATCGCAACAATATTTGCCACTTAGGTTGGAAAAAAGAGAAATTTCATACTATAACACGAGCTATGTTTGTGTAATAAAAATTTTCAAAGCTAGGGTAACTGAGGCAATTTCCTATTATTCAAATTAAATTGTCGATGTATGGACCAACAAGCTTACAAAAATTAAACCACTGCGTAGGAGAAGATTGTACATATATATATATATATACATTGATATCTTTGAGTTTCTAAGTATTTTTAGTACGTTTTAATTGACTCGCTGAAAAAATTGCGTTCTTGTTTTTTCCGCAATTTTGAACAATCTCTGAGTTAGGTTTATCTTCGTTTTCGTATTTTTACATGAGAAACACCCTTCTTTTGAAAAAATCAATATAAACAACGCTACATTTCTTAAAGTAGTTATAAAAACTTTGATATAAAGAAGGGTTGAATTGTCTTAAATGTGAATAAAATCTGCTGAAAACCCAGGCACAAAAAGTTGCGTACGCAAAATAAATGAAATTTGAATCAGTTGAAATTAACTGTTGCTACGTTTTGAGGCCAAAATGAATCAATCTTGAACCAAGCAAGACTGCTCGTATATCAGTAATATGCCCTGAATGTTCCGACTGCCCCTTAAAGCTGGAGAAAAAGTTTTGCTCCAAAAAATCGATGTTTTAAACAAAAATTTAAAAAAATGAATAATTTTATTTCAAATTCATGCCAGGGGCGGATCTAGAATTTTCTCATATAAGAAATTTTCAAAATAATTTCAAAAACTCCGTCAAACTTTTTTTAGATGGAACAAATTGATTTTGTGAGCCCTTCCAAATCAGTTAAAGACCCTAATTTGGCCTAATGTTTTGCGTACGCCCACCTGTCTCTAAAAAGCCACGACTGCCCCACACGCTACATGAAATGAATGTGTTTAGTGTTTCGCATCGTGTAAGTAAAACCAAATTTCCGACCTAGAAAAAAAAACAATAATATTGCTGACCTCAAACTTGAATAATATAAAAAATTTCGTCATGAAGCCGACAAAATCGCGTTCAGTTAAAAACTCGAATTTTGACTAAATAAAAACCTTACCGAGCATTAATACTCCGTCGCTGTCTTCGAAAGTCTGATTAACAGCGTTGATCGCTATTTGATTTTTTTTTGGATTTTCCTGAAAGCTTTCCCTCCATTAGATTTGTAAACTACAAAATTAGGGTCTAGTAACGAACTCTCTCCCCCACCTCGCATGAACATCTAATGTATAGTGTAACCAGTGATTCTATAAGGTGAAATAGAAATACAAAATTTGATCTTCATGACTTAATTAACCCGCCAGTCAAATTCAATAATAATCGGATAATGTGAGCATATGATTTAGAAGGAAGAATTCTTTGGTGGAGGGAATGAAAAAAACTAGTGGCATGGTTGTAACACCTTTGCCTTAATTCAATTTCAAGCTACTTATCAGCGGAGTAAATAGCCATTCACATTTAATGGAACGAAATATCTCACGCGTTAATTGTCTCAACCTGACAATTTTCAAACCCCATAAATTTTCAAAAAAAAGATCACATAAAAAATCTTTTCATGTTTGAGCTCATGAAAAATTGCTGGAAAAACATTTTTTAACAATTCTTAATTGCTATAACAAATTTTGTTCAAGAAAGCTTAGTTGAAAAGATGAAAAATTATTTGAAGAAAAAACACCGAGCACAAATTTTCCATTCTTTTTTCGAAAGCTAGAACAATTTAGTGAACCTTTTATTGGCCATTTATACTTTATCTCAATATGATTCTTAAGATACTTGCAAAAATATAGACAATTTGAGTTTATCAGTAGATTTGAAATATATAATTTTCCCCCTAATTATAAAAAAGCCTGAGTGGCAATAAAGTCAAAATATCTGAGAAGCTTAAAGCTGATGTCGTTTTGATAATTATGTCATTAGGCAATTGATAATGATGATTTCTAATATTGGCAACTACCTGTACTCTTTCTTGATCATACTAATTTTATGAGCATTTTTTATGAAATGATATATTGGTCGGATTGAAAAAAAATCAAATAAAGAATACAAACGCCAGAAGGAAAACATTAAATCTCAAACTCTTCTAATCTCTGTGATAATTTTGAAGTTTAAGGTTCTCAAAATGGCGCTAAAAACACCAAAAACTAGTTTTACTTGCTTAAAATTGAGTTTTCTGGGCTTAAATCAAGCATAAATAATATGTTGTACGCCTGCTCGCTCTCTTTATTTGCTCAAAATTGAAAAAAAAAAATCGAAAGATTTTTATTAACTTTTCTCGATGCTGAAAAAATTGTTTTGACTAAAACTGAAAAACTTTCAATTTGTTATATCACTCGATCCATGCCCATGATTGTTTGTGGCACCTGATTTTGGGTGAAAAAAAAAGAAAAAATTTAAAACACACCCGAATACAAATTTCGTCCCCATTTTTAAAATAATCGGAACAAAAATTTGTTTGATTTTGAATTCACTTAAAAAAATTTTCCAGGTTAATTCATATTCCAGAAAAGAGTATTATTCACTCAAAGATTTGAAACACAAAATTTTTTTTAGTCTATTTATTTTTTTCTACCCTCCAAAATGGAAAAATTCGAGGTGATATTTTTCCACAACGGGAAACAGTTTGAGATTTTGACTTACAGCTGAAGTTACAAATCAAATGGTCTCAAATGATTTTCGAAGTGCAATGCGACAACCTATTTCACTCCACTTTTCCTTCCGACCCTTGAAAATGGGGGGAGCTCTGTATTTGGGTTTGTTTTAGTATTTTCTTTTTGTTTTTGTTTTTCATGCAAAATAAAGTACCGCAACTAATTATTTGAATGGAACGAGTGATATATGATAATTGAGCACTTTCAGTCGTGATTCAAATGACCTTAAAATGCTTGAAAAATTTGTTCTTAGTAACAAGAAAAATTGGCTTGAAATTTTTGATTTTTTGTCTAACTTCGAGCTAAAAACTGCGAGCGTGCAGGATTACAATAGCTTATTTAAATATGAATTTATTTCTAAAAACTAACTTTTACTCAAATAATGCTTTTTCTTTACTTTTTTAATGTCCTTTTGGGCTATGAAAACATCAAAAATTTCTGCAAAAGTAAAAAAATTTTACGTTTTCTTTTAACTTTTTTTGTTTTTCCAATCATTTTCTGCAAAAATTGTTTTCCAATTGGCTAATTTCTCAATGGTTGTCAAAAATGACTAAGTGCTTTTTTTTAGCTCAATGTTTCATCACAGCACGCAGATAAAGAGACACTGGTGTGAAGAAACTTTTGTGGTATTTTCTAAGACCATGGTTTGCACAGTAACCGGCTTTTTTGTTCAAAAAATCTCCAACTCAAATAAATTCAAAAGAATTCAAAAAATCTTAAACTTGTCGTTTAAGCACATATTAGAGAATTTTGCTGAAAGAAAGATGCTGCGATTGCCAAAAACCTTAAAAGAGAGTCAAATTTGTTTCATGGGTGGAATTAAGGGGGAGACGGTAGGCGTCCCATATCAGGGATTTGACTCCTACTCACCCAAAGAGCCCCCTTTGATGCTGTTTTACGACATCTAATGCTGGCCAACCAATCTTAAAAAATAATAAAAACACTTCTGAACCAATTGACAGTAGCTTTGAGGTGGAGCACGCGTCAAAATCTTCTAAAAACTTGTCTAGAGAATAGGAACCTCTGCCTTAATAAGATCACTTCAGTTTCTTCAAAAAATTGATATTGTCGACAGAAAGTGGGGAATCGAACAAACATCCTCCATCGAAAAGAGTAGCACCACTAATTAAAAACTGGGTAGAATATTTGTGCTCGGGATGATTTTTGTCTCCAGAAAAAACTTTGACTTTTTAACAAACTAATTTTGACGGAACTTTATAAAAATCTTCTAAAGATTTTTGTTGTACAGAGCTCAAATTCATTTTTTCAACCTGTGATTATTTTTGTAAAGTTATGGGAGTTTAAAAATTGGCAGTTTTGCCAATTTGGGAAAATTGATGAGCGATATTTTTCCTGCTAATAACGCATAAATGGAGATTTATTCAGTCATACAAGTCA